TGTGTTTATTCTCATCGAAGGAATTCAGCAATGATTTGTGCATAACTTTGTTTTTTTCCTTTTAGTTTGTTTATTTTACTCATGTAGTTGAGAGCATGCCAGCCATATTGAATGAGAGAAGATTGTATTTTATTTCCTATCTTAAGGTTAATTTATATGGTTTGACTTAGTCATTCTTGGTTCAATTTAGATTATTTTTCTTTCGCATAAGTTGTGTGAAAGGTGGTGTTTGGAGAGGCAGCTTGCACATGACAATGGTGGCTTTACCCTCTTGGAATTATTTTGGTTACTGGGATTTTTTTTGGTTGTTGTTTAGCAGTGTAAGCTAGGGCTGCATCTTTTACTTGAAATTACTTTTGTAAAAGGTGGCGGTGTATGTTTCTATTAAAGCTGTGATACTGGGAATGTGGGCTGGTCCTTATCTTGATCGTGATGTCTACATTTGGTTTATACGACACTTGGGGATGCAGTTATTTTGGATCTTATGGTTTCATTGGTTTTCTGTAAGGCATTTAGTTCTGTTAGGAAGGGCCTAGTGTTCAGGAATTCCATGAGGTGCTTTGTAGATGTTCGTGGTGGGATTAATGTGATCGGTGGCTTTGGATGGTAGTTTTTAGATTTTAATTTAAACTTGTATTAAGCTGGAACTTATGTCAACAGTATCTTTGAGCCTAGGTTATGAGGATTTTATAAATAATTGTTTTAAGGCATGCAATTAAAAACTTTTATTTTGAATGAAATTTCTCTTTCTAGTTTCAATTTTATGAGTTCAAGTTGGATGTGAAATTCTTTTGAGTGTTGTACCATTGTGATTACTTATTATTGGGCAAGTCAGTTCTTTTGAGTTGCATTAAACTTGATTCTTCTTATTTTGTCAATTTCGTTTCTTGTTTTATTTTATTTACATGATTCAACATTGAATTGTTTCGTGCCATTGATTTTAATAAAAAAATTAACATAGTGGAAATAAATTGTGGAAATTTAATTCACCTTGCTCACTGATTTTATGTGTTTTTAATTCTTGACCGAATTTCTCAAATTATTTCGATCCTTGGTTATTGCTTGGGTTGTAATTTAATTCTGCTTATTTACATCTACAGAAAATTGAGTTAATTTGTGGCTTAAAATCTATGAAATTATTTCGATCATTGGTACTTTTGCATCAAGAAACCTCAACCACGGGGTGCTCTCTTCTCACTTTTTGATCAAAGCTGCCACCGGCGGTTTCCCTTTTGCCATCATTGCACTACTTCTTCACAAACTAGTGAAGGGTGAAGTGTTAGGGTTCTTTGGTTACGGTTGCTGTGAAGCTCTTCTATGAACTATAGAGCTCCTTCACATTCAATCATGCACTTATATGGTGAGAACGATGAAGATTAGGGTTCTATGATAATAAGAAGATATATTTAGGAGTTAAATTTTGATAAAGTTTTAAGGGTAAACTTGATCAATTATTTCTAAAAGGAGAACTGCAATTTGGATGGTGTGATAGGTAGTCAGATAATAGTTGTTGGAAATATCTCGAAGACAGTTAAAAGGAGAGTGTTTTCTCAAAAGGCAGTGCATGCAAACATCCTTATTAGATTCCTTTCAGCTTTCTTACACTCAATCAAAGAAAGGGCAAGTCTACTTCGAGGAATGCTTTCGTGAGAAGACACTCCGACGTTCATATTACATAAGATTGTAAGCTTAGAAAAGAATGACTTGTCCGACTGTTCCCTACGAAATATCGGTAAACCAAAATGGTTTCAATGGTTGAATGATTAACTTACCTTTATTGACAGGGGTTATGTATAAATGTTATGATTGTAGAATGGGATAGATGATGGATGGTAGAGGAATTTTTTCTTGAAGATCCGTAATGTTTAATGAGTGGAAATGTACCTGATTAAGTTGCTTTATTAACCATCTTGAAGATCTATGAGAGACAATTCTATCTTTGGGGTAATGGATGGATTGATAAGGTTTTAAATCCTTGAGATTCGTGAGGTCAGTGTTTGGAGTAAGATCATGGATGACTTTAAGAGTGGTCTCTGGTTTGATTTAAGTTGGACGTACCTTGGTTGATGCCTCAAGATTTGTGTTGATTTAATTTAATTTTTGTAAGGGACGGCAAGCATATTGAAGTGATTTGATGGTGAGGACTTGGAAGTTTTGTTGTTTTATTGCATAGGGATCATGAAAGCACAAATCTTGGCGTGCTACTATTTGGATGGCTAGGATTAATTGGTACTTTATATTTTTACAGGATACAATAACAATACGCACTGTTTATAATTAATTTGATGATTGGACAAACCTTATTTCCTAAAATTTTTATTCTATTTTACGTATTTTTTACTAGTTATTTGTTTATATATATGGAAATTGGTATCCATATTGTAATGAAAAATCAAAATCGAATTAATTTATTCTGTCATGCCCGTATTTGGAGTGACTTGGGACCATCCAATATAATATTTCTCAAGTTTTTAAGTTTTGGTGCCGGAATTCAGAGTTCACTTCCATCCCTTCCAAAGATGTTATGTTCGTGTTAGAAGTTACTTGAGTGCATCTAATGATGTAAATCACTTTTTCATCCTTTTAATTTTGAGTACCAACGTTGTGGAACAAAACTAGCTCCAGAAAATTTTTCTGACACTGAGTTCCTGCTTCTCATATATGTTTTTTTTTTAAGCATAAGAAACATTGAACATCAGGAATAGGATCAATCATACAGAGTTCTTCTGTTTTTTAACTATTGATTTTAGTGGAGTATGCTGTAGTTTGGAGGAGGGCTTCAGCTTGGGGTTGAAAACAAGTTCGCAACAGTAAGCATTGGAGCGGAGCTTGCATAAATCGCGGAAGCTATGATATTCTCGATGAAGCTTGAGAAAAATGTAGTTTCGAAATGAAGAGAATTGGGAAATTCAATAAAAATTTAAGAGAAAAGTGTCAAAATGATCTTCTGAGTTCATTTTTGTCACAGTGTCTATAAATGTGTCAAATTAGTAGTCCATAATGGGGACCTGTTTAACCCATATCAAAAGAGTTTGATGACTAATTTGGCACTTTATAGACATGGATTCAAATGACCCCACGTAAATAGCCGACACTCTACTTACATGAGTGCAAAACACACATAAGTTAAGGGGAAGAGCTGGGTCAGCCGATATCTTGGTAAACTAGCTTGAGATGGCGGGCTGAAACTATGGCTTTAGAAAACGAATGGTGGAAGGGACTGACCATAGTTGAAATGACCTGTGGAGTTCTTTTGTTCTTTGAGCATTTGTATTCTGTGATATTGATATGGTTATGTGGGTATTAACATAGTTGACATCAAAATTGTTTAAACGAATAAAACCATTCTCTTTTTTGAGTTTGCGTGATTTTGATATAGTTTGAGTGAAATCTTGTGTTAAGATATTAATACCTTTTGTTAGAAGTTATATTAGGAAATAATTGAAGTTAAGATATTATTTTTATTTCCATGTTGAATATGGAATAGATCAGCATTAGCTGAAGAGAGGAACACGTGCAAACAACCAATAGAAGTTTCCATGGAGTTGATCAGCCATGACATGACAATGGAGTTTTTTCCCTTCCTAAGCTCCATCTGCCAGGACAGTCTTTGGAGGCTCACGAATCATACCCGTGAGATGATTGAACTTTATAAACAATGACACTGCCTGGGACCATTGGAGGAAGTTACCGTCGTTTAAATTATGAGTTGTGATCAATAAATTCTTGTTAGCTTCCTGTCCTCCGGTCTGCAAGGGAGCGGAGGCTGGAGTCGATTCTTCGGTGAAGTCAAGAACGTCTTCTGAGGGTGATCCATTGGAAGAATCAACTATAATTTCGGCTGAGCCGAATGATATGTTGTTGTGATTTTGAGCCAGCAATAAATTTCAGTAGAATCACGACAAATAAGTATAATTGCAGGAATCGTAGGTAAACTACACGAATCCTTCCTGCAGAACAACAGTAGCAGGAACAGAGGATAGACCAGCGACAAGCTAGGGCAGATCGGTGATTCACGCTAGGGCAGAGGAGATGGTGCATTTAAGGGGACATGGAACTCCTCAGTTGTAGCAACAATGGAGCCTGAGCTACAGGCCGAGCTAGAAAAATAGAGAACACTTTCAAAGAAGGAGACATCAACACTCGCATAGATTTTGTTTGTGGTTGGATCAAAGACACCTACCCACTTTGAGTTGCGGAGTATCTAAGGCAGATACATTTTATGGATTTGGGGTTAAGTTTACTCCGAGTAAGGGCAGTGTTCCTGACAAATTCAGTGCACCCAAAAACCTTAGGATCCAATGTGGAGAAGACCCGATTAGTAGGAAAGCATGACATCAGGACGACTGAGAGGGTTCGAAACTTATGAATTCCCCCTTTCATATCAATATGATATTAGAGCCAAACTTCATACCCTAACCACCAGTCTTCCTTTCAGAGCCGGCCGGACTCCACAGTGCCAAACTTGTGTTAAGAAATTAAATTTAAAATAAGAAATAAAATAAAATTATATTAGGAAATAAATATAAACCTCATAATTTCTAATAGGAATAAATTATTTCCTAATATAAACTCTAACATCTTGGCTGATTGTATTTTATACATATTGATCCCATTAAAAAAAATTACAAACGGTTAACAATTCACTCATTTGTGTTCTCTCAAGAGGGATGAACAGTTATCTCCATTTATTTGCATGAAGTTAGAAAACCTATTTTTTATTATTGTTTTGAAAAGAATAAAATTTGCTGGTTTCATCATTTGATTTGCCAACTGCAAGTAGTTGAGATAAGGCTAATGATGATGACGATCATATGAGTTTCATCATTTGGTTGGTATATTTAAAAATCAACATTGATCATGCTTGTTCAACTAGCTGCTGGCCTAATGAAACCTGTATGATATTTAGGCCTGCATGCCACATTGTACTTTGCATCTCGCACATGGCCACTGGATAATATTTTCATCTATTTAAAACAATTTTTGCCGCTTCTTTCTAGATATATCAACATCAACACAATAAACAAATGAGCTGTCCTGCAATGGCTCGGCTTCTTTCAAATACTCTTTACTACAAAAGGTTCTTCCCTTACTATACATTCAATATTCTAGGTGGGCTGGACAATGAAGGTATGATTTTATTTTTTCTCATTTTGTCTATTTATTCCACTGCCCAACTTCTGCACTCTTACCCTTTTACCCCTTTGTTTAGGGAAAGGTTGTGTTTATTCATATGATGCTGTTGGATCCTATGAGAGGGTGGGGTACAGTTGCCAAGGAACTGGTGGAACCCTTATAATGCCAGTTTTAGACAACCAGCTGAAGTCCCCTAGTCCTTTGTTATTACCTGCTAGGGTAACATGGCTTTTCTCTAGTAAATTTTGTTAGATTTTAGTGCTTCAATTTTTTCTAGTTGAGATAAGTGTCAAAATAATTCCCCAACTTTTTATCAAGAGTTTATAAAAGTGTCATTTTAGTCTCCAAACTCTTTTACTATCTCAGTTGAAATAGTCCCCACGGAGGGTTATTTTAACCTCAATATAAAGAGTTTAGGATTAATTTGGTGCTATAATAGACTCTGGTACTAAAATGATCCCATGCAAACATAGGAATCTATTTTGACACTGCTCTTTTCAAGTTTCTAGAACTCAATAAAAAATTTGAACAGGATGCTGTGACGCCACTCTCTGAATCTGAGGCAGTTGATCTAGTCAAAGATGTTTTTGCATCAGCTACAGAAAGAGATATATACACTGTAAGTTTCCTAATCTTTATTTGCTAGCATTTGAAAAGGTGATTACTTCCCCGTGAAAAAAAATTGAAAGCATTGGATCAAAATGCCCTCCAACATGATTTGTGGAAATTACTTGGGAGGAAAATTGCTTAATTTTATAATTCAGGGTACATATATATATAGGAAAGTTAATCCATCCTAATTTACAAACGTATCTAATATATCGAATCTAAATTTGGAAAGGAAAGAATTCTTAAATAAAAATAACAAAAACATAAATATAAATAGAATAAAATTAATTAAGGAGTTTTCAAAGTTCTCTACCAATTGAATCTTTTATGATAGGTGGGTGATCGACCGACCCACCTAAGAAAGCAATCAGTTACTTAAGTTGTGTCGTAGATGTTGTAGAGACCAAGTTTGATATTAAAATCCGAGAATGTAGAGTTTTGGTGAAGACATCATCAACTTGTTGGTGTGTTGGGATGTAGCTTAGTTGTATAATTCTATCATTAACATTTTCAGAAATAAAATACTTATCAACTTCAATATGTCTGGTCCTATCATGATGCACATGATTCTTGGCAATACTGATAGCTGCTTGAGTATCACAAAACATATGTATATGCCTATTAGAGGTACAACCTAATTCCCTTAATAATTTCTGAATCCATATCCCTTTATAAATTTCTAATGCGAGTGCCTTATACTCTAATTCTACTTTGTTTCTAGAACAACAACTTGCTTCTTACTTCACGTAACCATATTTTTTCATACATAGGAGCAGTAACCTGTGGTGGATCTTTTGTTGGTGAGTTCTCTAGCCCAACTTGTATTATTGTAAACTTTTTCCTTTCTGTTTCTAGTTTCTAAAAAATTAATCCATAATTAGGAGTCATTTTAAATCCCATACACCATCTTCGAATACTCTTCATTTGGGTTGTTCATGTGTTGGCTCACACTACTAACAAAGTATTCAATATGTGGCTTAATGTGACAAATAGACGAGTATTTATACCAATCTTTGATATCTTTCTTTTTCAAAAAGATATTTTCTTCTCACCTATTAGATTTCTTGTTGGGTTCCATTGAAGTGTCAACAGGTTTTCATTCAATCATCCTTGTTTTCTTTAGTTGATCTAATGATGTATTTTCTCTAAACTATAACAATGCCTTTCTTGGACCTTGCTACTTCCATACTTAAAAAGTATCTCTTGTTTCTTAGACTCTTGATTTTAAACTCGACAACACATTTCTTTGATTATAAGAAATTCTATTTTATCATCATCAGCAAGAATCATATCATCCTCATATACGATTAGAATCATATCATCCTCGATTGATTAGATATATTGCATTCATAATAACTTTCTCCCTAAATATTTTGGAATGTGATTAGAAATCATAATTGAGCGGGATACCTCAAGTAGATGCATATTTTTTTTTTCTTTCAACTATCTCATTTGTTGTGGGATATCAAAATATGAACTCATATGGGCGATTATATTTTTTGAGAGATATGATTCAAGGATGGAGTTGAAATATTTCTTTACATTATTAGTTTTGAGGATCTAAATTTTGCATTGAAATTGAGTTTGAATCATGTCATGAAAGGTTTGGAAGGTTTGGAAGATTTGAGTTGTTTCAGATTTCTCCTTCATTTGCAATAGATAAGTAGTTACGGTGTAATATTCAATAAATAAGAGAAACCATCTAGCCCCACTTAGGATTTTCACCCTTGAAGGTTTCCAAATATCACTGTGGATTATGAAAAAGAGCTTGAAAGTTTGTATCGAATCATGTGATAACTATTTGATAAGCAAAAGATGATACAACTTTGTATCATAAATTTGAATAACCCAAATGACAATGCCATAGGTAACCTAATTTTCTACAAGATACTCAGAAATTTGACATCAAAGTGAAGGTGGAAGCATTTGTGTGTTTCAGAAAGATTTTTCTTGAGCAGGCATAGCCTTGATGTATTTCAACACTGTTAATCAACTTTCTCGACCCCACCTGAACTCACAAAAGTATACAAGAAATTTAGTTGTATATTTCATATCATGAGTAAACTTACTGATAGAAATTAAATTGTAGTCAAATTGTGGAACTTATAAAATAGAGAAAAGAGTGATCCTGAGAGAGCCTTGCATCTCTTTTTGAAAAACTTTTTAGTGTAATTCATCTACAAGGTTGGTGTGCTGTTTTGAATTACCGTCTAGAAGTCTTTTCAGCACTTCAAGCTATTTCTCGGTGAATGGTTCATCCGACTCTTTGGATGTGGTAGTAGCCTTGATCTTGTTTTCTTGCTTTTTCTTTCCATGTTCAGGAGCGTTTTGGATAGAATTCCGGGTCTCTGATTCAGAATTGACCTTTGGATTTAAATTCGAAGTTTTCAACCTGTATTTAGTCATAAAAACCTATGTGCGTAGTTAGGGCTACTGCTGCTGTAGGAGGTTGACTGCTAGGCCTTTAGGGTAGCATAAAAATGATTTCCACTTGAGAGAATATGAATTCCCCCACAGAGAGAGAGAGAGAGAGAGAGAGAGAGAGAGAGAGATTTCCACTATAGAGAATCTCCAGGCAGCAACAAACTTACGTTTTGTGCTGCAACAAACTTACGTTTTGTGCTGCCTGCGTTCGGAAGCCTGGATAAGGTGGAATAAAGTAGATCACTGGAAGAAAACACTTGCAGCGAAGGAGGAACACCCCACAGGTAGATGGTGGCAAGAAGAGGACCCGGTGGAGGGCCTGCAAGAACTGATGGCTGCAAGGAGATACTTTGATAGAGAAAGAAGAGCTAGGATTTGTTTCCAAACTCTGATACCATGTAGACATAGAGGAAAACTGCTTAATTTTATTTTTCTTATATAGGTTACAGTTTTATATAGGGAAATCGATCCCTCCTAATTTATAAGCATGCCAATATCTAATCTGAATTTGGAAAGAAAATAATTCTGAAATAAAAATAACAAAAACATAAATAGGAAGTGAAATAACACTAGTTAAGGAGTTTCCAATCTTTCATGATAGGTGGGTGGCCGGCTGGCCCGCACATGACAGTAGCTGTTTACTTAGTTTTGCACATGATTTTCATCAAATGTTATTAATGATTCGAGCTTGAGCCAACCAAACTGATATGGTCCCAGATCAAGATTTATTCAAATTTGTTATTCAGTCTGATCTAATGTTTGCATTGATCTGATCATGATTTGATAAAGTTATTGGCTAGCGTGATATAAATTCAATTCGAGCCAAATCCATCACATCAATATGTGTGTGTGTGTAAACCTGGTTCATGATGAAGCTAAGCTCTATACCAATAAGATTTTGTGGCGACCTTTGATCTATGGTCACTTTCACTGCAACCATATTCCTCCATTTTAGAAATAAATGGGATTCAGTTCACATGAGATGCCATGAAATTGCATCAAATTTTGTTGGTAGAAATAATGCTTGTTCTCTAACAGTTTCATTCAATTCTACCATCTTTTTAATTTTTTTTTTAATTTTTGGGTGTCTGAACTATTGCAGGGAGATAAGCTAGAAATTATCATTGTTAATGCAACGGGTATCCGACAGGAGTTTATTGAACTGAGGAAGGATTAGAAAACCAGAGGTGCAGATCTGCTGGAAATTTGGAAGATAAATATCCTCCAACCAAACTTAAATTAATCTTCCCTTTCTATTTTGCCAAAATATTTAAATCTCAGCTTATTTCCTTAGATTCTTACTGCATCAAGTTGAGGATTTTATTGGTCTTTTTTCTGGTTTTGAAACATCACTACTGCAGTGATTTCTTTTTTCTTCTTTTTGCTGTGAGAATTGTGTTGCCTCAGACATTTATTTGTGATGAATGCTATTCAATTTTAGCGCTATAAATGTTTAATGGTGTAAAATTTACGGTTAAATCTTTTCTTCTTATGTGGAGATACATATGTGGATATCTTCTACCTGAATCTTTTTTCTCCATTTTGTTTAATTCTAATAAGTTATGATAATTTTTTGAAACAATATGCACCAAGTTTTTTTTAGGTCTATCTATGTTTCTTAACATAAATTGAATCTGAAACATCTACTCTCCTAACCGGATTATTAGATGTTCGACGTTTAATGTAACATATCTCTCTAATCTCACATGATATTGGGGGGCTGTACCAACTATTTCATGGATATATTTATTTTTCATTTTGTCTCTAAGTGTAAAGCCACTCATCCACCTAAGCATTTTCATCTCAGCAATTTTATGCTCATCTTTTATAGGCCAATATTCTCACCACGATTTCTAATATTTTTCTTAATGCTAAGTTGTAGATGCATTACTTTGCTTCGATCATCCAACTTGAATTATAATAATAAGATCTTCGTCTATATCACCATTACTTTGAACAATCAAACCAAGAAACCTAAAATGTTCACAACTTTTGTTGATTTGTTCACACATTTTTACAACTTTGTTACTATATCTACTATTAGTAAAATTGTTTTTCATGTATTCAATTTTAGATCTACTCAAATGATATTGGCTTAGAGCCGATTCCTGATGTAATCCAACTGAAATAGGAAAATAATTGGTCAATCCTTCTGTTCGAACACAAGTAAGCTCTAGTATACATATCTTTAATGACTTGAATATAAGTCATATTAACACATTTTTTTTTCTAGAACTCTCCTAAGAACTTCTCGTGGAACTTTATCATAAGCTTTCTAAATCAATAAAAATTATATATATATATCCACCTTACTCTCCTTGTAGTTCTCCATCATGCCTCTCAATAAATGTATATCTTTCATGGTAGACTTGCCTGACATAAATTCAAGTTGTTTATGAAAAATTTTTGTATTGCATCTTAAAATATGTTCAATTACTTTCTCCCATAATTCTAATGTGTTATACTTTAACTTAATTCCTCTATACTTTACTATCTTGTGCTTCTCTTTTATTCTTAAAAATATGTCCAAAATGACACTTACTTCTTAGCATCACAAATAGTTATCTTAGACTCTCTATGAGCCATTATATATTTTTTTCCATTTCCTTAAGCTTTTACATTTAGATCAATATTCTCTAAGTATCTTTTGTCACTTGTTTAATAGTTTATGTTACTTTATGTCACATAGAATTAACTTCTTTATGAACATCCTAGATCTTAAAAATGCTAAAGTTTGCTCATAAATTTTTTTTAGTTTTTTAAGTGCTTCCATCTAATTCTATAACAATGTGTCATTATATTTTAACTATTCATCTTAAATTTAAAATTAATAATCGATGTTGAGTATTCAAATTTTCATTTGCACTGACCTTATATTTTTTACATTCTCGACAATTTGTTTTTTTTATAAAAAATAATTAATTTGTGTTTTATTAGATCTATTTTTATAAGTAATAATATGTTCATCTCTAATAAAGTATTTGTAATAATAATATTATAAGCTAAAAGAAAATTCAATATGATTCTACCTTTTTCATTAATCATTTCAAAATTATAGTCACCATGAATATTTTTTAAGACATTCTATTACTTCTGCCAACATCTTCATTTAATTCTCATCCAATATAACTATTTTTTTTCAGAGGTATCATTTGTATTAATTTTTTGCAGTTTCAAATTTTTCGTTTGTACATATATCCAAACTTACTTGATGAGCACAAACATTTATAATATTAGAAATTTTAGTGCCAACATTAATCTTTAAGACTATATTTATTTCTCCAATCAAATTAATTTTTATAATAATATCTTTCAAACTCTTATTTTTAATTATACTTACACATTTTCTAGTATGACTCTTACATGCATGCTTAAATTAAAAAAAATAAGTTATCAAACTCCTAAGCCTTTTCTTCAACTCATTTAGCTTCTTGAATGTATAAGATATTTATTTTTCTATGAATAATAATATCTGTTAATTTCATTAATTAACCTGTGAGAGTATATATATTCTAAGATAATTTCTTAATATTAGTTTCATGTACTAACTTATTTTCTTGCATCCGTTCATAATGTGAGAACTATTGCTTATTTAACACTACACTCGGGTGCCAATGTAACGACCCTTACACATTTTTACAGTATTCTTGTCATACAACATGTCGTTTTCAAGCGATTTTTTTAGCATTTAAACATTGATTTAAAATATTCATATCATAATTTTTTTCGATAAAAAATTCTACGCTGAATACCGACTATGTAAAATAACCCTTTATTTTTTGCATCAGTAGTTTTGGTTTTTTTTTTTCTTTTCATATCCTAAATTTTTTTATTTGTAAAGAAAATTATTATATTTTATATTGTTATAAGTGTTCTTATGTTTTTTTTGTCTTTTAGAAATTTAATGTTGAAAAATTGTTCTTAAATTGAATTTATTAATGTGATAGCTAGAAGACCGTTATATTTTATTTTTAATAGTAAAAAATTGTAAAATTCAAAATTTTCTTAAATTTTTTGTTTTGTTTTTTTCATAGTAATTTTACGATTGCTTTTCAGAGTCGTAGCAATTAATGGTAAGGGTATGATGGGCAGCACCTTCATTATTTTTTTCAGATTATTATTTCACTTTTAGTTGGCTCTACATTTTTTTTTTGGACGTTTTTGTAATATATTTTTCATGAAATAATTTATATATAATGGATCTGTTAGTATGGTGGATGCAGGAAAATGATTGTTCAACTTTTTAATAATATTAACAATAAATAGTTTCTTAAAAATAATATTAATACGATTAGAGGCATTTACACACATAACATTCAATTCTTATGTATTTACATATTGAACCCCCAAAACTTTGTTTTTAACATCTATGTTGTCCAAATATCTTTAATATCACAAATAAGATATCGCGATTTTAATTTTTAAAAGGTGTATCATGTATCAATTAGGTGACATATATATATATATATCTATACATTGAAGTCCCTTTCCGCATGAGATTCCCACTCCTGATTTATCCATGATTGAGGCAACCCTATAACCATCCTGAAAAACAACAATAAGAAGAAAGGTCTCTACATACATATCATACAACTGTTATATATAACAGTTGTATGATATGTATGACAGTTGTATGATATGTATGTAGAGACCTTTCTTCTTATTGTTGTTTTTCAGGATGATTATAGGGTTGCCTCAATCATGGCTAAATCAGGAGTGGTAATCTCATGCGGAAAGGGACTTCCAAGTTAACATAGATAAATCACTTTACTCTATTCCATGGCATCACATTATTTCTCATTGGTTTTCTTTAACGTTGTATTATGTGTTTGTATATCCTAAAAATTGACTCTTGCCTAGTCGAAAGTAGGGCTGTAAACGAGCTGAGGCTCGACTCTTGTTCGGCTCATTCGAATTTGGCTCGTGTTCAAATTGGCTAATGAATTGTGTGTTGGTGTTCGGCTCAAATAACAAATTTTTGTTCATGTTCGGCTTGAAATTGGCTTTTTAGAATATAAAATGATTATAATAATTATTATTTTAAATTAAATAAAATAATAATTTTATCTATTTTTTTATATTTAATTTTAACCAGAAAACATTGATTAACTAAAAAAATTTTCAAGAGCATATTTAATACAAAATTTTACCCAATAAAAATATTAATATTATTTATAATTGACTGTAAACAGTATTATTTGTGTGTTTTCGGCAACAATAACACGCAAATTTACTTGAATAACATCGCCGCTGCCGGTTACCTAAAAAAACACTGCAATGACACCGCAATAACACCGTAAGTAAACTCGAATAACACCCCCACCAAAATACGCCAATAAAAGCGGGACCTCAAATAAATTCGGAATAACACTTGTATAACACCGTAATAACACCACAAAAACGAGCCTGAGATTGCTCAATATCGACATTATTAAGACACTCAAATGTCCATCATATGCCATCTAATCAAAAGAAACTCTTCATACCGTTTAATCAAAGCGGTTCATACTCATGCATTAATTGCACTCGAAACTCTATAAATAAAGCTCCACTTCTATTCTCATGGTATGGAGAGTTGTAAGCTTGAGGAGGAGAGCTTAAAGTCTGAAGAAAAGCTTGAAGCTTAGAGGAGCTGAAGTCCAGCATCACCTCATCGCCGATAGCCGCCAACCCATATATATATATATATATAGACACAACTTAAAAGAAAAAAAATGTTTATGGAACTAACGTTCTTTATTTATTTTCGTCATCATCGGTACAACAGCTGTACAAATTCATTTTACATCCCTCTACAATTATCTTTACAATACAATGCAATATGCACGTATTTTATTACATATACCTATAACAGAGCCATCCAACTAAAACAAATGGCTTTCTGGTTATAAATATCAGAAAAAAAAAAGTATAAAATAGCTGAGAATGTACAAATTTGCATCAAACACACAGAAAACATGACACCATTTTGCAGATTTTCTTAGTTCTCCTTTCAATCATAAGAAAAATTGTAGCAATTGTGTTGAAGAAGGGATGAGAAGAAGTTGCAGATGAGTTATGGGTCTCTGCAACCTGATGAATTTCAGCACAGAAGCCATGACTTCTTTCTTCTCTTCCAGAATTGAAGCTATGGCTGCTGCTTCTGGTTCGGAGATAGAAGCTTCTCCCTCCGATCTCTCCAATTTTGTCACTTTTGTTAAGACCTGCATAGTTAAAGAAGTTTATGATATGTTTATTATATAAGAAGGGGAATTTACAAACATACATCCAAATTCCTATATATTTACATATCTATATAACGCCTATAAACTTTAGTTTTACTTTTTTACATTTATATCACCCAAATCTTTCATAATCCATCAAAAGTATACCACCGCTTTAACTTTTAAAAAGCGAAATACACATTTTGGCATGGTTTGCAAAAACAGACGACAGAGAAAGGAAAAGCATTTTGGAGGAAGAAAAAAGAAGAACTTCAGGAATCAAGTACGAATCCCGATTGCTGAAATCCACAGAACAGGAAAATGAAGGCCGGCTGCTCTTCTTCTATTGTGGTTTGCATCTTGTATTCTTGAATTCGTTGAAATTAACAAACTCTTACGTTTAATGAAGTTGATGTATGCCACCTATTTGGTGATGGTTGATTATTAATTTCCTCTAGTAATATTCTATAGAAGCATTTTGTGCATCCATTAAGTTGATTAGTGGAGTTCTTTACGTGACCTATGGGTCCCGTGATTTTTACTTTATTTGAGGGGTTTTCCAAGCTAATAATTTGGTATTGCTTATTCTAGTCGGTTGTTTGCTCAATTTGATTGTGTGTATGCTTGTAATATAGTAAGTTTTTCGACTATTTCTCCAACAAGTGGTATCTGAGTTAGGAATAATTTGTGTTGGTTAAATAAAGGAGTTTATTAATAACAACAATAACATGAATAAGCTTACGACAACCAATTACTAAATTTGGAAGTCACATATGGAAGACTTACTTTGTTGTTTGGACTTAGAAGATATACTTTTGGATACTAACAAAGTTGGCCGATAAGGATTGGACTAAGTTGAATACAAAATCAATTAGCAAGATTCGACAATGGGTTGACAATAGTGTTTATTAATATTTTACTAATAAGACAAATGTCAACAAAGTTTGAGAAACTCTGAGAGAGTTGGGCGAAAAGAAAAATGCACATAATAGGACTTTCTTTTTAAAAAATTGATGTATCTTAGGTACACTAATGGAATTGTATTTTCTAATCACTTGAATGTTTTTAAGAAGATATTGAATCAATTAGCAGCATTGGAATGAAGTCAAAACTTGATGTCCTTGTCTTGTGTTTGATCAGTTCCTTGCCATTTAGTTGGGAGACTTTTGTTGTTTCTCTTAGCAATTCTGCTCCAAATGACATTCTTACTTTGAATATAGTGAAAGAGAGTATGTTGAATGGAAAAAAAAAAAAAGATAAATGAGCGAGGGATAATTATGTAGAATCGGGTGTTAATTTAAGTGAAACAGGATAAAAAAAAAGAGTAGAAATCATAAGTATTGTGAAAGCAATGACAAATCATGAAGAAAGTTTCAGACAAAGAATGAGTTCATATGTTTTCATCATGACATATCGAAGCATAAGCAGACTCAATACAAATTGTTAAAAAGAGAACAAAAGCAGAAGCAGAAATATGAAATAAAGAAAAATAATGCTAATACAACAACTGTTGCAGATAGGGATGACCCTATTACTTGTAATAGAAACAATATTAATCTCACATATAAGGATTCTCGTTGTGCACTTGATTATAGTACTCATATCATGTCACTTCTTGTCGTGATGTGTTTTCTATCTACAATGAGGGTATGTTTGGTCATCTGCAAATGGGGAAAGATGCAGAATGCAAAGTTGCGGGCATGAATAATTTCTACATGAATCCTGACTCCAGATGTTGATTGTCTCTAAAAAATATAAAACATATTCCTAAGGTCAATTTGAATTTGATCTTCAATGGTGTACTTGATGATAAAGGATGCCATAACCATTTTGGTGAAGGTAAATGGAAGCTCACTAAGAGATCATTCCTGACTGTTAGAGGAAAGAAGCACAATTCTCTTTATTTGATGGAGGCTTAGTATTAAGGGGGAGAAGTGTATGCAACTGATGATTCATCCACTCAACTATACGATATGCGACGGAGCGACTCGATCACGCGAGTTAGAATGGTATGAAGAAGCTTTCATAGAAAAAAAGGTTATTCCAAACTTGAAGACTGCCGAATTGGAGATATGTACTCATTGCTTGGCCGATAAACAACATAGAATCTCTTTTTAAACTCTCCATCCACCTATAAAAATTAATGTGTAGGATTTGGTGCATATTGATATATGTTCTATGGATGCTATGAGCCTTGGTGGTGCTCGTTATTATATTACTTTCATTGAAACTTGTTTCAAGAAAGTGTGGGCTTACACATTGAGATATAAAGATCAGACTTTAGGTTTCTTCAAGATTTTTCAAATGACAGTTGAGGTAAACTAGAAAAAAGCTGAAGTACGTCCGTTCAAATAATGGTAGTGAGTAAAGTGGGCCATTTGAGGCGTACTTTAGAACTTATGGAATCAAAATTAAGAAGACAGCCAAAAACTCATTAGCATAATGAAGTTGCTGAGAAGATGAACTGCACAATTAATGACATAATTCGTTTCATGCTATCTTCTTCAAAACTGCCTAAGGTTTTTTGGGGAGAGGCTTAAAATTGGTGGTTCACCTGATAATCTTATACCTTCAGCTTTTTTGAATCATGCCATACCACAGAGGGTTTGGACAGAGAAAGATATTATATATGGGCGCTTAGAGTTTTTAGATGCATAACATTTGTGCTTATTCCTAGAGATGTGAGGTCTAAACTTGATAGCATAACAAGGCAATACATCTTTACTGGGTACAACCACGAGGAGTTTAGGTACAAATTTTAGAATTCGATTGACAAGAAGATTATCAGAACCAAAGATGCAATTTTTTTGAAGACTAGACCATTGTAGATTTTGAAAAACCAAATGAGTCAAAGTGTACCAATGAAGAACAAGTTGTGAGTCACTTTCAACAGAAGATGATCCAAATGTTGAGGACCTAGAAGATGCACCATTTGGACCTTTGTTAACAAGATACAACAGAAATATCAACCTTTTAAGACATATTCTACCAGTGAATATGTGATGCTTACTAACGGGTGATAATCAGAGACTTTACCTGGAGGTTTTTTCATATGAGAAGTGAGAAGAGTTGTTGAGTGCCAGAAAAATGTGATAAAATTATTGCATGGGAACCACACTTATGATTTGTTGAAACTACTAAAGGACACGAAAACTTGAAAGAACAAATGAGTATTCAAACTGAAGTCGGAGGAGAATAGCTCACAACCAAAGTAGAAAACAAGGTTACTTGTGAGGGATATAGTCAGACAGGTAGTGCCAATTTCGATTAGATTTTCTCACCGATGGTGAAGACAAGTTCAATCTATCTTGTATCGGGATTAATTGTCAGTTTGAATTTGGAGGCGAAACAACTTGATATAAAAAACAATCTTTTTTCCCAATGATTTAGAAGAGAAGATTTACATGGAACGGACCAAAGGCTTCAGAGACAAAGAAAATGAAGATATTGTATGCAGATTAAGAAAGAATTTATATGGGCTTGAGCAAACGCCAAGTTAGTGGTATAGGAAATTTGATATTTTTATGAAAGCAAATGAGTACCTTAAGACCACTTGTGACTATTGTGCTTTTATAAAAAAATTCTCTAATAATGATCTTGTGATTCTCTTACTATATATCAATGAAATGTTGGTCTATGGTCATGATGGGACTAAAATTGAGAAGCTCAAGAGAGAACTTGACAAATCTTTTGCCATGAAAAACTTGGGACCGACAAAACAAATATTTGGAATGAACATTATTCTTGATAGGAAGAAGAACAAGTTATGATCATCTAAGGGGAGGAATATAGAGAGTTCTTGAAAGATTCAATATGAGCGGCATGAAACTAGTCGTATCTCCACTTGCAAGACCATTTAACCTAAACACTAAACAATGCCTTATAAGTGAATGAGAATCGAGAAATGAAGAAAGTGTATTATGCATCTGCAGCCGGTAGCTTGATGTATGTTATAATATGTACGAAACAAAATATTGCTCATGCAATTGGCATTAGTCTATTTCCTTCCAATTCGAGAAAGAATATTGGGCAGTAGTTAAGTGAATTTTAAGGTATCTCAGAGGTTCTTCCAAAGTGTGTTTATGCTTTAGAAACGATAATCCTATTTTGCAAGGTTATATAGATGCATAAATAGATGGTCATGTCAACTCAAGAAAGCCCATTTTGGGATACTTGGTTACTTCTGCAAGGGTGCAGTTTCATGACAATCTAAAATACAGAAGTGTGTGACTTTTGTCAAAGAAACTTGCAAAGAAGTCTTGCAAATAAAAAATTTGTAACAATAGTTGGGCCATAAACAATAGAAGTTTATCTTATATTGTGATAGTCAGAGTTCAATTCATCTCAGTGGACATTACACATTCCACTCACTTTCGAAGCATATTCATGTGGGATGTCATTGGATTCGAGATGCACTAAACTCGAATAAGTTACAATTTAAGAAGATCCATACCGATGTGAATAATTCTAATATGATGACAAAAATATCCCTGAAAGAAAAGCTTACAGTATGTCGAGGAATCGCATGAATAAGCGAGTTTTTTCTTCGCGTGATTGAGAGGGGGTGATTGTTGTGGGTCCATCCTACGTGATGTTTGCACTGTTCAGCTTGAGAAAAAACTGAAAATCGATTTTCTTTATGAATAAAAAAAGAGTTGTCATTTTTTTCCTTACTCCATACCCACGTCCCTCGTCTCTACAGTTTTCGCACAAACAGAGCAATTCGACTCTTGCTAGCTATCTTTCGAACATAGGAGACAAAGAAAGGAAATGCATATGGCGGAACAAGAAGGAAGAACTTCAGTAAACAAGTATGTCTCCCAATTGTTGAAATCCATATGACAAGGAACTGAAGACCGCTTCTAGTTTTCTATTGTGATTTGCATCATGTATTCTTGAATTTGGTGAGATTACTAAATCCTTATGTTTGATGAAGTTGATATATACCAATTACTCAATGATGGTTGATTACTGATTTCCTCTAGTAGTGTTCTAGAGAAGAACTTCGTGTATCCATTAAATTGATTATTGAATGTATAAGTGACCTACAGGTCCTGTGATTTTTATTCTATTTGAGGGGTTTCCTATGCTAAAACTTTGATGTTGCTTATTCTCATCAGTTGTTTGTTTAATTTAGCTATGTGTATGCTTGTAGTCTAATAAGTTTTTTTATTGTTTTTCCAACAAATACATATGAATTGAGTGATATGCATGCAAAGCTTTCTGACATATAAGAAGGGGCATTTACATCTATGCCATCCAATTCTATGTATTTACATATCTAACGCCTATACTTTGATTTTTGCATTAATATCACATCAAATATATTATTACTTTAACTTTTAAAAAGTGAAATACACATTTTCATGCATAGGTAGGGCGGAATGTATACGCAAAATTTAAAGTTTATGTGTTAGAAATTAAATTACATCGGAATTGAACGTTATATATGTAAATCTTCCTTTATGATATTAATTCGACAGTCACATAATATGAACTCTAACGAGAAAATTGCTGCACAACGAACATGTGGTTTGTTCAAATATTAAGATTTTAATATTTATTTTTGTAAGAAAAAAAAAATATGTACTGAAAATTGAGATTTGATGCAAGACAAAATTGATTTGTACAAAATTTTATGCCTTAGTTGAAGCTTACTGACAATTAATTCAAGAAGAAGAATAATGCAAAAAAAAAAAAAATCAATTATTCTAATTTTTAAAATTCATACAAATCGCAAGCTAAAACAAGTAAAAAACTGTAAAATTGCTTACTGTGGAGGCTGAAATGAGAATGATGGAGCTCAAAGGAGGCCACCGCTTGCAGGTCCAGCTGCGGGCTCCTCCCCTCGCGGCTGTATTCATCGACGACGGCAGCTATGGCTTCCTCCACGCTGGCCCCGAGCTTCACCATGGCTTTCACCGGCCCTGGACTCCCTTCTACTGCAACGCTGACCACCACCTTCGTCTCCTGCGGCTTCCATTTTAATTATTTTTAAAATTTAAAATTTCTTTTTAACATATTATTAAAAAGCACAAAATTATTTTTGGGAAATTTACCTATATACCACACAAGTCTTATGGAATTACATAACTAACACCTAAAATTTGATATAGCCTATGCATTAAAAAGGTACATTTGATTAAGAGAAAAAAAGTTGATAAGTGATATTTTTATGTGATAAAGATTTAAGTGCTATGACTGTAAATATTAAATTTTGGGTGTTAGATATGTAAATACATAAAAATTGTGTAGTATATATGTAAGGGTCTATTTGGAAAAATTTTCTGTCTACTTTGCTCAGATCGACACCACAGTTCTATTTGATAAACTAATTTTTTGCTATTATCTAAAAATTTTTAAGGTATGAAAAGTTTTTGACCTCAACTGTTAAAGTATGTTGATTTCTAGAAAGTTACGATCTGACTTTTTGAAAATACAATAAATTTGTAAATTCACTTCAACTTTTTGAATAACAGTTTCTTCTGTAGTAGCTTCGTCAAACAGTTGCAACTATCCCAAAAAAACTCTACATATTTTTTTTTCTTTTCCGGTTGAGTTTTTAATGAACCTTATTTCTTTTAATTATTTCATTTGAATTTTATTAGTTTAGGGTATAATTTTCGGATACTATGAAACTGACAAAAAAAGGGACTGTTTTGATATGTTCTTGACTGAAACTAATCAGCTTTGATAGTTTCAAGTAGGAGTGGTAACGATCCAATTTCAATTTGAGTTGGGTGGCTTCAAATCGGTTTGAAAAAAATTTGATTCAAAATTTTGGCTCATTATTTTCGATCCGAGCTAAAATTCAAATTAATTTTTGAGAGATCAATGATCTTTGAGCTAAAATTTACTAAAATCACAACTAACATTATAAGGGTAACGATCTGATTTCGAGCCCGAGTTGGGGCCAGCTCAAATCAAATTCGACTCAAAATTTTAGCTCGTAGCACAACTCCTTTGTTTCGATCCAAATCAAAATTCAAATTAATATGCGAGCAATTAACGATCTTCAGGCTAAATTCACAGCCCTAGTTTCAGATCATTTTAACTGAAAGTTAATGACATGATTAAATATGTTTTAAAACCATTATTCCATCTCAATTTTGTTCTAATCACATTTCGGTTTCATTGAATTTGGTAATTTTCTGTATTTACTTTATTTTATAATATTTAAATTATTCTAAAAATATTTTATTAAAATATATTGATTAATGCTTTAAAATAATAAATATTATTTTTAAACGAATTTTTACTCGAGTTTCATGATTTTGGCCAAATCTTGCTTGTTTCAGTTAAATTTTAGTATTTGCTTCCACAGTTTCGATCAATATGACCTAATTTCAACAATTCCTGACTAAAACCCCCAATCAACACAGAAAATTATTCGGCGAATTTCGTATTAAAGTCTAATTAAACCCTTTGCTTTCGGCATTTTAGAATCATTCTTAAACAAATCTCAAAACCTTCCCTAAACTTACCCTTCGATTCCCTCAAACACTTGGAGAAAAAAAAAAAAAATCATCGAATAAAACCTGTAATTCAACTTAACATCAACCAACCTCCCTTGAATCTCCCACGGCAGCCGACGGAGATTTTAGCCACCGCGACGCCGACATCACATCGGTACATGTATGCGGTCTAGGAATACGAATCGACGCCGTCCACTTCCCTTTCTCTCTTTCTCCGCCGATAGCCGGAACCCTCCACAAGATCGGCTCGGAGGCGGAGCGCGGGAGAATCCCATAGGGTTTCGAGCGCTTTGGCCGGCGAAGAGGAAGGAGAATCGGCCGGCGGGGAGATGACGTCAAAGGGTGAGGCGGCCGTCGGGCATCGCTGGAGAGGTTCGATGGCGCGCGGTGGAGCTTTAGGGTTTTCTCCGGCATGAAGTAGGTGGGAAGAGGAAAGTGGAGGAGAGCTGCACGAGCTGCTGCAGCGGTACTGTGCGGGAATGGAAGTTTAACGTTGTTTTGAAACGCCTGTAGCTTGTGTAAATTACGGGAGTACCCCTACCTTTTTTCTTTTCCTTTTATACCTAGCGGTGCTGCATGCGTTAATGCGATGTTATAATTTTTGAAAGTTTAGAAAGGAAAAATTATTGTAAACAGACAACAGAGATGCATGCGATGTTCAATCCTGTTTCTAGATCACGGTGATTTATGGTCAGAATGTATTTTAATGGGTCTCACTTTATAATTTTTTTTTTAAAAAAAATTGATTTCATCATGAACGTAAATCACCGTGATTTATGGTTATGATTGGACACCCCATGCAGACACCATATGTAATAATTTTTTGTTAGATAGAAATTGGAGTTTTGTATTTTAAAATTAACAGATATATTTTGAGGAAGAGAAATTTTGAATAAGACCGTTGAAATTTATTTTTTAGATTTATTTTAAGTTTATAAATTTGATTATTTTATATTTAAATATAAACATTAATGATTAAAACAATGGTAATTAGATTCATTATTATAAATGTAAAAAAAAAAAAGTATGTTATTTTAATTACAATTTTAATTAGGGATAAATCTCAAATTTGTTGAATCTATATAAATATTTATTTACTCTTAATAAATACATATAAAAAATAAGATTTATAATTTGGACTTTTTTTAAGTATATGTGCCAAAAAAAGTTTATGGATCATATTTAAAATAATAATAATTAAATTCATTCATATAATTTTTTATATAAAAAAAAGTAGCTTACAATATTATTTTGATATTAAATTTTTTTATCAAAAATAGTCTCAAAGTCATTTAATTGTAATATTAAATAAGCATAAATGTTGATGGACAAAAATATAAATATTTATCAATTTTCCCAATAAACAAATAACTAAAAAAATCTAAAATCAAATTTAAATCTAATTAAAATGATGAATTTAATGCATTTGAAATTTTTTTCAAATTAATTCGGTATTAGTTTTGACTTTTGGGTCCACAAAAGTTCAAATTTGTGGGGGGCAATGATGAGCACTTTTTTATAACATTAGAATAATTATTTTTGTAATAATTTAGGGGCATTTTGTAATTTTGGCGTTAATTATTGTTGGCGGCAGAAGAAATAAAAAAATAAAAATAAATAAATAAAAAATAAAAGATGAAGGCAACCGTTTGGATGCTGTCAGCGTTGCTTCCGCGGTCGGCGGGGAGGTCAAGTGGGACCCCACAAGCAGTTTATATTGTTACATTAAAATAAAACAAATGTGGGGGCGCCATTTACTTACATATCCAACCTCAATTCTTTTATGTTTACATATCTGACCTCAAAAGATTGTTCTAGTGTTCATAAAATGGATATTTAATGCACATAAATAATTGATAAATTATTAATAATGTCGAGTATCGAATGAATTGCTCAAATGAAAATAATTGATTGACGTTTAAGTAGAATATGTTAATATGTTACAACCGTGCCTTTGGTTCTTAGATGTATCGAATCGTAAGTTCATTAGTGAGACCTAAAAAGTTTTTGTTAGTAGTTTGTTTATACATGAAAGATCTTATAATGTTACCTAGCAATCAAGAATACAATTTATAAAGTCATGTGCTATCATTCACTCTGGACTTTTTGTCAAATACTTGAAATAAAATGAAAAAAAAAGATAATAGATCACATGGAAGCAATATTCAATGTAAGGGTTCGTATATTGAAGCGTAGGATGACGTATGAAAGGAATCGAAGTTATATTTGAAAGATGAACATGTCATATTGCTTACTCTATAGATTTATGGAAGCTATTTGCTCAACTTTAAAGAGTTTTTTTTTCTTGTCGAAAAATACAAATAAATAAGTTTTAATGATTATAATGGTTTTTTTAAATTTTTTATATTTTGTATAAAAAAGATGATTATGTTCGCCAAACTTAAGATTTGATATTACCTTTCTATTTGGTAAGTATTGGGGGAAATTATTGGTTGTAGTGGTAGTTGATTCAAATGATGAGCTTTTCACTTTAAATTTTGCTATTATAATGTAATAAGCCTTTGTCATAGTTCCTTAGAACCATATATAAGCCACTAATTGGGACAATTAATAAAAAATTATGTACAATTTCCAACACTTGATAGTTTGGTTCATATATGTTATTAAATATTTATGGGCAAGACACAATCACTCTTTTGATGAATGGGATGTTGAAACTTTATGCTAGAAGTGGTATTGAGGCTATTAATAGTGGGAACATAATTTTTTTTTATTAATTTTATGATCTACATAAAAAATATCAAAGAAAAAAAATAGATGCTTAACTATTTAATGGAGGCATAACAAATTTGATATTATCTCATTATTATGATGCTAAATATGGAACAATGCCACCAATATTTTAGAATAGTGTTTTTAAGCCTGCACGAGGGCTCCCTAAAAAAAAAAGGTTGTGTTCTTTACTATAATGATATTACATTGCTCGTTAGCACCCTGCTATTACCATAAAATAAGAGTCTACAAGAAAATCATCATTTTTACACTTATGTACAATGATAATAGTATAGAAATCTGAGCCTGAAATAAGAAAATATTTAGAACTTATAAATATTGACACTCCTGAATACTAATTTTTTGACAAAACATGCATGTACTTTCGAAGGAGATTATAGATTCACATACACTCATCCTCAAATCTATCAAATAAAATGCTTACATGTAATTTCTTGGCATGAGACATACAAATAAAAAAAAAGTTTCTTTATCAAGCTATAATATAATCCATGTTATAGAATATGTTATAAGGAAATATTTCACATAATTTTAAAATTCTACCACTATGACCCAAGAAGAAGCATAGTCAAATTACTTGCATCATATATTAAGAAATGATCTAGTAGGTCATGCACACATCTATACACAATGACCAAGGACACATGAAATGAATGATACAATATAATTTTTAGTACTCTTAAGATTTTTTATGGAATAAAACCATTTATTATAGTAACCTAAAAATATTATGAATTATATAAATTATTAATAAAGTGAAAATGTTAAAATCAAATTATAATTTAATATTATTAAATGTATGCACTTAATTATGGCATAAGAAGTACATAAAAAATGCCATTGTAAAGCTAAAAGGAATGAAAGTACAGCTCAGACTAGCGCTGGTAGTTGATGCCAATCAAAGCATAATAAGTTTACTTGAAACATTCAGGTTATCCATCTAAATATTATAAGATAGTAATATATTTTTAGAACATTCTTTTTTATTTTGTCGATAGCCAAATTGAAGAGCAAGAAATTATTTTTGGAGGTTGTTACAAATATTTCAATAATAAAGAAGTGGTCAATTACAGGCTTTCATATTTTAGAAGTTTTAGGACATATTTATTGCATACATCATTTACATTAAATTAGATAAAACCATTATTTTCTTATTACATTTTTTTTACTGTTAGTATTTGCTCATAAATATATTACATCAATTTATAGGTGAAATGGTCATGTCCTTCGAGAATATTATACTTATCTTTAGAATTACAGTCCATGACCTAGCTTTGGTTAGGTATATCATGGTCGATAAAGGACAGAGATAGAAGTCATGGCTTAACCCTTGTGAAACACTATTTGGTAGTTATCCAAAGAGAGATTATACACAAACACCCAATAAATCAAAATCTTTCTTTAAAATTTAGAATCAGCCACATCTAGGTAAAAATATACATGCTACTTCGGTTGCTAAAATAGAAATTAGATAAAATCACCATTTGACTTGAAAGAGATTGAGTTATATAAGCATGTTTGTGCATATGTATTACTCATAATACATTTAGATGTGAAGTCCTTATGTAGTATCTATGAAAGAATCAGAAAAACTCAACAAATTCAACATAACAAGGTGCATTCAAATTTTTTGAGAATGGAATTTTGAGCATTTATATAAGATAACCAATGCTAAATGTAACTTAGCCATTATATCTTGAAGGGAAGACTCTATGTTACATGTCATATTATAACTACGCTAATTCTAATTAATTAAGGTGACATGTTTCACTATGTATTAAAATTAACATTTGTTAGAGATCGAATGAAGAGATGGTGCATCATATACAAGTTAAAAATGTGCAAGTTTACATTGATAGAAATGATGGTTTGCTTCAGAGTTAGGTTAGCAACATAATGTATAACACAACATAAAAAAAAAAAAAAAATAAATATTAAATATATTATGATATATAAGTGATTTTGAAGCCATATGTGCATGACCATTTCTTAGTTATGCCACATATAAATGTATCCAATTTTCATATTTAAAACATTTGAGTATCATTGATAACTCGAAAGTGTGGATATGTACTTCAAAACATGACAAGAATGTTTGGTGTGATATAATGAATCAATATAGATCATATATAGCAAGGGTATAGGTGAGTTGATAGTAGGAGGAATAAATACATCAATTGGTTTGACTATCATAAAAAATATATATAAAAACGTGGGATAAAATGGTAGTTTATATTATTGAGAAAATTCCAAAAGATGAGAAAATTTGTGTCATACTATATGTAATGGTATAAGTTATAAGGTTCATTATATGACCTTGATGTAATATTGAATCATCTAGGCATGTAGTATCCTCATTGGAGAGAGCACTAGTGTGTGCGTGCGCGTGTCATTTAAGTTTTCTTATTATTTAATAATATATAATAATTAATAATATTATAATATTATTATTTTGTCTGATTAAAAAAGATTCTTCAACAATCTTTTGACATACATAATGATAATGCTAGTATCTTATTACTTGTATTAAAACATTATATAACATCATTCAATAACGCTATAGAATATCATATAATAAATGGCTTGAGGGTGTCATTCCTACATTCATCCACATACCGGACCTCAAACCCTCTACATATGTAGATTACATTTGTTTGTCATTTTAAATATAATACTCATAAGTGCGGCAATATATTACT